GTGTTTTGAGTTTCCTTAAAACTTCACTACGACATTTCAACGCCACATTCAATCAGCTGCTACTTAGAAGCATCCGTGTTGGATTTCTCCTGTATTTTTGTACTTATGTATTATTTGTTATTTGTTAGATTAGATTATGTGTGGTTGAAGATCTTTACGTTTACAGCCAGCCTGGAGTAGTTCTTTGTTCTTTTAACGTAGTAGGTTTGTATTACGTATGCATAAAGACAATCGAAATCATTAGAAGTAGGTCAATGCATCGGTATCGTAGGTTAGTGTTGAGTATTTTTTCATTTACTAATGTGTGAGTTTCTGGACGAACATTTTCCTAGACGCTGGATTGGATGTCGGGATCCTGTACCTTGGTCGGCGCGTAGTCCTGATCTAAATCTGTTTGGCATTTTTATATGGGGTTGTATGAAACAGGGCGTGTATCAAACGCCAGTGTAGAATGCCAATGATTCACAAGACTGTATATGATTGCTATAAATAAAGTAGGAAGATAGGGCTATTGGCGAACCACACATAAAAACATAACGAACCTTGGCAATACCTCAGTAGTGGTTTGGAAACTTAATAAAATTATGATAACCTATCCAGAGGCCTATCCAATAATGTACAGGCCTGACGCTGGAAGCTGGAAGCACGGATCAGTGAGTAAGTAATAGACATACAAACAGAAGAACTAATTGTTGATGTTGGTGACAGTGATAGAGATTCCGATGATGACATTGAATGTGAAAACTAACTATAAAACAAAATAGGTTAATCTTTTCTTTTTGATAAGTCATGTTTTTACATTATTTTCTAGTACGCCACTGTCCCATCTGTATTAATACTATAATTTACGCCTACTGAAAGCTTATTTGTGTATTTGTTACGCCCGAAGACCGAAAACGCTCAGTGGCCGGAAAAAACGGTCACATCGCGTTCTGGCTGCCTTCGAACGCACAGAACGCGTTTTGGCTGTTTTTAAACGCTCGCAACGCGTTTTGTCAATTGTTGAACGCTCACAACGCGTTCTTAATGTTCGACTTGTATTATTTGCCGCTTTCTACCTGCGTACAAATGAATTTCAATCCATTTTTCAGTTTTTAGGAAACAACTCAATCATTGACAACACAACTATAATTGGATACCAAAGATGGGTTCGGTTTTTCTCGCCGAATCATTTCAACAATATTAAATTTCTTATAATTATGTTTCAGTTCTAGGTAGAAAGTTACAACAATATTAAATACTAGCGGACAAAATCTCCTTACGATCAGCATCAACTAAATCATCAGGAAGTAAACAAGGTTTTGTTTTTTGTCAGTGCACACGAATGTGCATTGATAAAAAATGCAAGTGTCGCAATTTCTACCTAGAACTGAAAAACAATTATAAGAAATTTAATATTGTTGAAATGATTCGGCGAGAAAAACCGAACCCATCTTTGGTATCCAATTATAGTTGTGTTGTCAATGATTGAGTTGTTTCCTAAAAACTGAAAAATGGATTGAAATTCATTTGTTTTATAAGTACAATGTAAATCTCATTGTACGCAGGTAGAAAGCGGCAAATAATACAAGTCGAACATTAAGAACGCGTTGTGAGCGTTCAACAATTGACAAAACGCGTTCCGGCTGTTTAACAGTTACCAGAACGCGTTGCGAGCGTTTAAAAACAGCCAAAACGCGTTTTGTGCGTTCGAAGGCAGCCAGAACGCGATGTGGCCGTTTTTTCCGGCCACTGAGCGTTTTCGGTCTTCGGGCCTAACATATCGGTTCCAAGTGACTTACCCAAATAGGTCATAAATGGGCAAGTACCTGCGCGACCGCTCGCCAGCTTCCTTCGTCAGACCTGTACCTATTAATGTTTACATAACGTTAATTTTATAATTTTTTCTTTATTTTGTGTTTTTAACACCATGTCGAGGTTAACTTTCTTTAACGTTTTTTATACCTTAATCACTCTGCTTTATTCACCATGCGGTTACCTATTGCATCTAACTAACACGCTTCAAGGCTTGCTACTTATTTCAGAAACACCCTGTATACTGTGAGGATGCGTGGGTTGGAACAAACTCATTTAAAATTTAGTGGTTTGCCTTTTTGCAAAAACATTCGGACATGTCGATCTTTATTTCTGGGTACGGGCTTTTTTATGGTAATTTCATTTATGGGTGCTTCCATGAAAATAGGGCAACTCTGTCCACAGGCATTTTTCGCTGCATTAAATTAAATTAATTTTACTTTTTAGTTAATAGGTAACAGCTTAATATGTGTTTTATTTATTGCCCACAAAATGTTTAAAATAATTTAGAATTATACTTTAGAAAACTTTTTTAACTACCACAAATATCAATTTGAAATTACGCGGCTTTAATCGTGAATGAGGAAATGAGAAACAGTTGATTTCAAAGTATAAACATGAAGTTATCTGCAAACGTCGCTCGCCGTGTGTCGGCCATTTTGTAATTCAGTGCAACCGCGGCGTGAGATGTGCGAGCACGCCTCGTTCCAGTGACTTTGTCAGTCCCGCGGTAAGCAATTTTTATATTAAACTAGCGACCCGCCCCAGCTTCACACGGGTGCAATTCTGATACTAAATATGTTTTTTTTTGTTTAGATTATTCTCGAGGACGGGAAATCTTCAAAAGACCCCTGAACATTCTATATATAGTACAGAATGTCTTTATATACAACATTCACAGCTTTTTTGTTATTAGACAATACAAACCGGCCTACCTATCTATCTGTAATATCTGAAAATATTCATTTATATTACATGCTGTAAAGGACCATATTGTTCTATATTAAATGCACAATGTATTTAAGGTACTTAATTGAATAAGAATTAATGCTATAACGATGACGAAGGGACCACTGTAATTTCGTCGTAATATCCGGAAGTCGTTACGGACACGTGTGTAAAGTTTTCACACTTTTCCAACTTTGAAACGATTTCCGCCTTTCTTTAACAGTTAATGTGCATCCAGGACTCATCCTTATTCAAAAGTTTACTAAACACAGTTGCTACTCAAAATATCACTTTGTAACCCAAGCATTCTAACTAATATAAGAACAGAGGCTTTCACTGCTGGAATCCGTAGTAGAATGGGCCATAGTCTAAGTAACTGTTGTGTCCAGACGTTTCGTCAGCTACTGCGGCTGACATCCTCAGTGGTAGTGCTGCGTTTACAACGTGAACTTTCAAGTTTCGACAGCGACCACTCAGTCTGAACAGAATAGTTCACTTAGACCACCGCCTTGTAGCCCCAATCTTCATTCTACTATTTTAACTAATATCTATAAACAAGCGGTAAAGGTCACAACCCTCGCTGACCGTCTGTGTAGATGCAAAACAAAAGATGAGAAGACTCTTTGTGTCTTGGCGGCCGACTCCGGTCGCTACATCTGCATGGGATTACTAAGGACTTGTTACAAATGATTAATTAAAAACAGTCGCTATTCCCGAACTCGGTGTTACATCCAAAGTCGCTATAGCCACATGAATTTTGTACGAAAGTATGCTTTAAATTCAAGGGACTTAGATTTAACGTCGCTATAGCAAAATGGTCGCTACAACCAAGATCGTAATAAATAAAATCTACTGTATAATAAAAAATAGGTGCTCTTATTTGAAAAAATAAAGTCGGTGACAGTCGCTTATTTTTAGGCCACCCTGTATACAAGAATTTATCATGAAAAACCTCACAGCCAATAATAAAGATCGACGTGTCCGTGTGTTTTTCCAGAAAACAAAGCCTTGTATTTTAAATGAATTTGATCCAACCGACGCGTCCACACTGTACGTCGTCTCCTTATATAAAATCTATACAAACAAAATTCTGATTGAATTATTTTATTCGATTATGGTAACGTGCCTATCACGTTGAGGTTAGCTTCGCCGAGATTCGTTTCAGCAAGTAGATATCCACACAAGTGGACCTTGTTGGAGCGTACGTAATCCTAAAATATAGCATCGTGCTACAGATGGCGTTTACCGCGCCTGTTGTGGTATTTTCTAAAACGCACCGTTAAGACAGCAGGTAAAAGTTGGTCTGTGTTCTGTCGGAGCTGTCTGCGACGCGCTGATGAGATTCAAGAAGAACGAAATCGCGATCCGCGTCTGGCAGTTTCAACAGAATACAGACCACTTCGAATTATTTTATTCGATTATGGTAACGTGCCTATCAGGTTGAGGTCAGCTACGCCGGGATTCGTTTCAGCAAGTAGATATCCATATATTTAAATGGACCTTGTTGAAGCATACGTAATCCTAAAATGTAGAATCGTACTACAGATGGCGTTTACCGCGCCATTTGTACTATTTTCTAAAATTCTGATGCACAACGGTTACACTACCAACAGCAGGAATTAAACTATGATTCCCGCAGAGCGGCCAGCCTCAGTGCCCAACTGGACGACTCCGATATTACGCACTAGGAATGGATTCTGTGAAATATCGCATTCCAACAAAAACAAAAATTTAAAATTGGAAATATTGTCGAGTGTGCTGTCATGCAAAAGATAACTAAATTCTCAGAATGATCTTCGATTTTACATCAGAACCATATTTTTGTATAAAGTTATAAGGGGTATTTATTATAGAATGAACCAAACAGGGTTTGTCCCAAAAAAAAAAAAAAATAAAACGAGGCGAAATTGGATGTTCCCGAATGAGTTTCGTAATACTTTGTGTGCATAATTGCCACTTATTTTTTATTTTTATTTTAAATAAAGATAATATGATTTATCTCTTTAATCAGATAGAAAATAATTTAATTATTTTTCAACAGATTTATTTTGCACCTACTCAACTGGTCCTTCTCAGTAAAACCACTTATTCGCAAAGGATGTTAAGCATCGGCAAAAGTGCTTTACTTTATGGAAAAATCATGACAAGCTTATCTTCAGCCGCTAATTATCTGTTAGAGATGGAGTGGTTGTAATTGGCTGGCACGAGCTTAAACGATAATGAGGAGCCTATAGATATAAAACAAAGTTGGTACCAATGATCGTACTCAGTTTTGTTCGGGATCAATAAGTAGCGCAAATACACAACAATTACAAAATGAAAGTAATCACTTTTGTAGGACTCCTTGCCTGTTTAGGCCTGGCAAACGCAGGTAAGACTTCTTTTATATTTCCATGTAAAGTTAATGCATTCATTCTTGAAATATTTAATGCTACAATCGAATTTATGTAACATCTAACTTTATTTTACAGGAATTTTCGATAAGATTGACGATGCAACTCTAACAGCAGCGATCCAACTTGCCAAGTATTACATCGCTAAATTTGATCCTATAGACAAAGTTGATGTGTCAGACTACGTCTTAACTGTGTAAATATATCATATTTTCTCACATGCACCTATTAGTTGCAGCAGCTAACTAATCATATTGGTCTGTTTCTTTTAGACTTCAATACAATGCTTCAAAAATTTACGTTTCTGGTTTTTCCGACTTCGAGTTAACCCACGTAGACGTTCAGAAAAATTCTCTGGCTATCAGTGTACGTTTCAATTCCATTGTTGCTTCTGTTGACAATTGGAGCGCATACACCGTTGTAAAAAACACCATTGGACTCGAAACCCTCGAGTAAGAAAATTTTTTTTGAACTATTACTATTCTATCTGCTTCGATATTGCTAAAAAAACGTCAAATAATTTACCATGAAGACGTTGTTAATCAACCCGAATGTTTTTACAGACTACGTTAAGGTAAATCTTTAATCGTTTACGTTTTAAATTTAGAGCCACTCTGAATGGTCTTGAACTGGATTTGGAAGTACAATGGGCATTGGCGCCAGTGACAGTTCAAAGTCTTAATGTCCTTCCACACGTCGAAAGTGGTTCAGTAAGTTACCTCTTTCCTCAATAAACTAGTATTTATTGTATTAGTAAAAAGGGACTAGCTCTAGCTCACATTTTTACAAATTAGATACCCTATTCCACTTTTTCTTACATTCCGTTTACAGTTCAAACTTCTTGGGGACTTGAACGGTCGTGAAGCCGATATAGACCTCGACAATGATGGACTGCTAAAGATCGATCAATTGTTTGCTGACCATTCGGCAGAGCTCAACGAGGACCTACTCACAGCAGTCAACTGGTTCTTAACAAAGTTGCAATCTTAAGCTGTTCAATGTTTTCCAATCGAAAGAATCTGACAAAACGAACCGTTTGTAATTAATAACAATAATAAATAGTAACAACAATAAAAGATTATCAACATTTTTCTCTTTTTTTTATTATTCGGATGAGACAAAAGCTATAAATAATAATACCATATCCTTTTACAAATCGGGAAGAGTACCATATCGTTTGGCTATTATAGTTCGTATGTACCTAAATATTGAAGTAAAACTTTTTATGGAACACTATAAAGGTTTTGGGATTGATTGTAAACCCGTTTAGCTAACAAAATCTGCTAAGTGAGAGAGATGAAGTGTGTGAAACGGAAAAATTCTGCTAAGATCCGCGTAAATAGAAGACGCGGAGAATAGTCGCCGGACGTTAGTCTCAATTTATCTGTAGTAACTGCTGTTTGTCTTACTAATTAAAGAATCCATTCATTTTTCAACTAACGGATATCATTATACGAGGGTGGATTGATAAGTTTCCGGCCTGACCAAGAAAAACAAGGTTTTTAAAAATTTTTTTTTTTTATTTCTCAACATAATCTCCTCCAAGGCTGATACATTTCTCATAGCGGTGTTCCAGTCTATTAATGCCATCTCTATAGACTGATTCGTCAAGCTCCTCAAAATAACCATTTACAGCTTCGATTACTTCTTCATTGTCCGCAAATCTCTTACCGCCA